TACAATAACTACAGCTACAGCTGCTACAGCTACAGCTGCTACAGCCACAGCTGCTACAGCCACAGCTGCTACAGCTGCTACAGCTACAGCTGCTACAGCTACAGCTGCTACAGCCACAGCTGCTACAGCTACAGTGACTGCGACGACAACAGGACAACTGCTGTTGAAAATTACTTGTTTGATTTGGGACTTTAGACTTTTGACTATTAGACTATGAGTTGACTATTTAATCATTTATAGTGTTTATTTCAAATGATTAGATTACACATATGGTATGGAGTTACATTTTTGAATGACAATATTGAAAGTATAACAGACATACTTTGGGGTTTTTGCTAATGAGACTTTAAAGGAATTAAGCATTTTTCAAATACTCAGAAGAATAATCAGTTAACACAAAACATAAACATTACATTAGATAAAATATTAATAATAAGATTAACATAAATTCATATTTATGTTATTTGCCAATTGCAGTAAAATGACACTAATATGATACGATGACTATTATTATTGATGCTTTGGTTATTATTACAGAAGGATAATATGAACACTGATGATTAGAAAGGGTGACTGGACTTTGAACTAATTGGTAAATACTTGACTTAATTAACTGCATTTGACTGGGACACATGGACTGAAATATTCATGATTAAACTTGTGGTTGTTTAATCAAAAGGGGGAATACACCCTGTTATTAAAACACTCTTTTCTTTTTCTTTGATGTTCATATGATGTTGATTTGAGGAGTCCCAGATACTGGTTGGAGTTTTTCTTCTTTCAGGACATAATGATGATGGTGATTGATGGACATTGGACAGTTGGACAATGGACATTGAGAAAAGCGGGGTCTAAACAGCTCTGATGCAGGACTGGATTCATCAGAAGAAAGTATCGTGAGGACTGAGACCAACAGAAGATGGAAGAAGATTTGTCTAAATATATAGTGTGATCCTATATTATTTAGTGTTTGTGTTTTTCTGATACAGCAGATGTGTAGGTATGTTGCAGTTGATGATTCAGTGTTGGGGATTTAAGGAAAATATAAAGAACTAAGTTTGATTAGGAGACTCAAAAACTGGAGTAACTGTAATTGGAACACAGTTACTTACTAATTGGATATTATACTAGTTGGTCAGTATTGAAGTCAGTACTGAAGACTTTTGATTAAATCAAATAAAATCCCCTATACTGGTTATATCTTAGTTTTTGTGAGCTTCAGATCTGTGAGTGCAATGTTTGTAGTCGTCAACAAAACACATGAAGACAAATGATCTTTATTTGAGGCTGTGAGAGAATTTTTATCCAACAAGCTAATATGAATTTGGAATAACAGATGCTGTTGGTTGTTTTTGCTCTCATGCTCACAGACAGAAGACAGTGTAGTGCATTAAATGATCAGATATGAATCTGAAAAGGGGGAATGTTGTAAATGAGCTGTATTCTGTTCTATTCACATCTAACAGAAATGCTGACCAGGACACAAAGAAGCAGGCTTGCTTTTTATTTTAAGAGTCTAGGGTCATAGGTCAGATGGACATATATGGTAAAGGTAAATGTTAGTATTTAACCCAGTTTAGTTTTCTACTCTGGGTCTTCTGGCGTTGAGCCTGAATCAGAGAGGAGACCCAGGCAAATGGAGCTCTTTGCCTGAATTGAACTGAATGTATTCTGATTATGTCATTAAACTCCTTTTAATCATAACTCAGAGTTCATACCTTCTCCATCACTATCCATGTGTGCGGGAAACCCTGTCTTCAAAGATAAGGAGACACTACAATAGAAAGAAAGACAAAAACAGAATGATAGCCCAAGTTGATTGCATTATGCTTTTAGCCAAAAAATCATTTTGGGTGTTTTTTTTTGGGGGGGGGCATTCCTGCAGGTTTTGGGATAGAAAATCATTCCGGCATTTGACAGCCCTGCAACGCAGTGTTCTGAATCGTGTGCTTCGATGTGAGTGGTTGAAAGAACACGTTGTTCAAGATAACAGACAAGTGGTTTATCCAATCACATACAAGATTTTTTTTACAAGGCTCCGCCCTCTGAAATCCATCCGCTATGAAGCAGACCCAGACCCTTGTGAGAAGCGCAGCGAACTACAAGGGTCTGGCAAGAGTCAGGCGATGAAGTACGACCACATCAGTCCAGTTCTCAGGTCTCTGCAAAAAGCAGGGAATGGACTTTAAACCTGTCCATTCAAGTTTCTCCATGGCCTTGCACCAAAGCACATCTGAGACGGATGTGCTCTGTTGGTACCATATGAACCGGCTCAGACACTGAGGAGCACAGGGACTGGCCTCTGGACTGTTTGTGCCGAGAGTCAAGACTGAAGATGATAAGGCAGCATTTAAGATTTATTGCAAATTTAAAATCTGGAACAACCTTCCTGACAATGAAAGACAGGCAACTATTCTGACAATGTTCTAATCCTAGTTAAAGACGGTTCTGTTTGCCTCTGCATACAACTGGATGATTTTTATCTCCACTTGTTTTAATGCATCGTGGTTATTTATTATTTTAATCCCATGTGTGATTTTATTGTTTTTAATTACTTGCGTGACTTTTATGTTTTTAATTACTTGATTTTAATGTTTTCATGTTTTTAATCACCTCTGTTGATGATTTGTGCCTTGTGTGATGTGGTGTATGAAAAGCGCGCTACAAATAAAGATTGATTGATCCCATCTTAGTCCCAGCCCTGTGCTGGACACTGCAGGGTGGTTCCTTCTGAAAACTGTAATGTTTGTAATGTGCATTTTTTGTAATTAATTTATAATGCACATTAACACACATTTCGCCAGCTTTAGTCAGATGGTGTAGACCCGTCCTGCTCCACCCAGCGGCCACTCCATCTCTGCTGCTGTGACCTGAATGGCTGTTGCTGATTATTACTATTGTTAGCTCTTTTGAATGATCAATTTTATTTTTATTTTTGCTGCTACTGGACACCTGAATTTCTCCGATGGGGATCAATAAAGTATCTATCTATCTATTTAGCCTACGTTTTGAGAGAGGAAGAGGTACACATACTATACATTTGTCAATGTGCCTAAGAACAGTAGCGCATGGCCTTGTGATCTACTCTAGCACATTTGATTTGGACATTTGTTTTTTCTCGTGAAGGAGGCTGTGAGGACAAGGAGCGCTCAAAGACACTGAAAACGGCAATTGTTCATTGATTGTTTAATTTTCTAATCCACTATTGGCAAATTCACAATTCTGTAAAATCTAAAACAGAAAAGGTCCTGATGTAACGGCACCGACACGTCCGCTTCTGCCTTCAGCACCATGGACAGAGGCAGAGAGTTGTTCTTGAGCAGCTCCTCTTCATTTCAATTACATTTATTTTTGTATATAAATCACAACAGCAGCTATCTTGGAGGGCTTGTTGTTGATTCAGCAACAACAGATCCGAAAATTAAACAGTTTGAACATAGGAAATGCAATAATGACAAACACATGGAGCCATTGCTCCATAGGGAGCGGGATGACCTCTGACCAGAGTGCAGAAATGTCCTAGATTTTCACTGTCCTTAGACCCTCCTGCATCGGCAAAGAACCACCCTGGGGACACCCACATTGAGAGAGGGATCTGCTCCTACTGACTGAGGTTGTTGACTCAAGACTGAGGTTGATCCATGACTGAGGCTGTAGACCCAGGACTGGGGCTGTAGAACCAAGTCTGAGGCTGTGCAGTGCAGGACTAAAGAGGCTGCAAGGCTGAGAGGGGGTACAGCCCATGAGTCTGGGGGAAACCAGTTCAAAGGTACTGGTAAAAGAGGCCGGATTCAGGAGTCTCATCTAATTCCCAACTGTTCAGAAGAATCTGCAATAACAGCAGCGAGAGCTCCGTTCTTCACAGCTCCTGAGGATTGACCTCAACAAGAGATCAATGATAAGGAGCAGAGAGGAAACAGAAGGAGGAGGGGGAGAAGAGTTGAGTGTGTTGTTAGGTTCTGTGCCTGTAATAAGTAACACAATCTATTCATGAAAAGAGGATCAAAAGCTTGATCTGGATTTTTGGCATGAATACAGAGCGTGAATGTTGAGTTTGAAGCAGGAGGTGTCAGAGAGCACAGGTTTCATCTGGTTTCAATAAAAAAGGTGTTCCACGGCTCAAAAAGGTTGGGGAATACTGGTATACAGTAATACTCGGGCGTAGGCGTAGCTTCTCTCCACACAACAATAACAACCACAGATTCTCTGGGATCATTTATAATTTCCAAACATGTATTCAATTTAATGGGACAGTGTGCATTCTTTAATAATACTGTTGCAAATACAAACTACACCAGATATTTCCGTTATCTCGCGGTTACACTTATAAATACACACTTGGTTATTCTGAAATAATGGTCAAGGAAGAAAATTCAAACCCCAGTATGGAGGTGGAATTAAACCCAGGACCCCCTTTTTGTTGTGAAGCACACCATGTTGCTGCTGGGACTCAGCACATGCTGATGCCCAGAATTGTGACTTAACATGTAGAGGCAGCGTTTCAGATTTATTCAGCTAAAATCTGATACAGTCTTCCTGAAAATGTGAAACAGGCTTGTCTGACAATCCAGGTTAAAAACAGTTCTGTTTTGCTGCAACTGAAGGATTATATCTTCACTTTTTTTTAATGTACTTTAATTATTTATGGGTTTAATGTTTTTTTCTTGTTTTTAAGTACTTTGAGTGGAATTGTGTATGAACTGTGCTATACAAATAACCCCAAAACAGCAGTTCCTGTTTGAATGACACAGATATTAAAACCAAACTGAAATAACTGAAAACTGGCATAAGAATTGCTCAAGGATGCAGTCTTTTTTTCAATTTTTGGAGTGGGCACAGTGTCCTCTTCTCTTCAGAACCATGGACACACACACACCTCCTGTTCAGAGCAGTGTAGTGGCAGAGATTCCGCCTGTCAGAGCATGTCTGAAGTGGCTTTATGAAGTGGGAACTGTCCTCACCTCCTCCACCCGCGCCTCCTGCTTTCATGAATAATCCATATGAAGTATGAATGGAGGCCTGCGGGCAGAGGGCCTGGCCGTGTCCTTGGAGAAGACAGCTTTCAGAACACTCTGCGCTCCGTGTCTCTGGCTCTGCACTGGGCCCAATGCTCCGGCTCGGCAAACAGAGGCAGAGCACCGCGGGCCCCACACAGAGCAGAGATCAGAGCGCTCACAGCTCATCCAGCACACCCAGCACGTCTGCAGGTACAGCACTTAAGCCACACTGTTCCGTTTATAGTCCGGGGCCTCAGGAGGACCGCTCTCCCCACTCAGGACTCAGCCAGGACTCAGGCAGGTCAAAGAGTCAAACTGCTGCATGGCGGACAGTATCATGAATACAGACACTGAAGAAAGTGATTATTATTGTTGCAACTGCACTCTATAGTATGGCAAAGCAAGTTTATTTATACATCACAGAGAAACTCAAAGTGCTTAACAAAACAAAATAGAAACATTAAAATCATAAATACTCACAGTACATTAAAAGGAGTGCAGATACAATCCTTCAGTTGTTGCAGCAAAACAACGTTTTAACCTGGATTTTAACATTGTCAGAGTAGAAGCCTTTCTCACATTTTCAGGAAGACTGTTCCAAATTTTAGCTGCATAAATCTGTTGACAATCCGCATGAAGGAAGCTAACAGACCGCTCAGAACGGACTTTCTAAATCGAGTGGGTTGTACATCCAGGCTGCATGTGGTCTGATGGTGGTTTTGATGTGGTTTTGTTATTGGAAAACTGTGCAGTCTAAAACAGAACACGTAAATTGTTACTGAAGCCTTCAATCATTGATCTCGTTCTGCATAGCACCCAGTTAAACTCGAACACCTTATCTTTGGAAATCACATCATTTACCTGGAAGTTGGACTTGCATCACTTCCACTCGGCTCTCCCGCACTCTCGCTTCTGTGCTGATGTATAATATAAACGTCAACTTCATTAAAAAAAATATATTCATACAATTAAAAGTACCCATGGGCAGAATAAGTGTTTGTTTAAGGATCCAATATGACGGCAGTGAGATTTCGATTCGTCTCCTTTTGCAATTTTATGTGAACGCTGCAGACCTTCTACACCAACAGGGAGTGAAACACAAGGACAAAATGGAATCAGCATCTCTACACACATGGATAGATTTTCTCACTCACAGAGGAAGCTTTTCAATAGTCCAACATTATTTAACTTAAACTTTTGTAAATCTACTCATTGAAAGGATTGTGAAGGGCCAGAATACTGTTCTTAACCCCTCAGAAGGCCTCCATAGAAAGTTATTTCTGTTGGACAAATGACACCTTTCAGGCACTGCTGTTTGTATGAATATGCTCTTTCCCGTCCCCCACTGAGCCGGCCCAATCAGACTCAAAAGTGTTCATATGTAATTAGTAGGGGGGGGGGGGAGTTATTACCATGACAGCAACAGAAAAACTGAAAAAAGGGCACATTTACAGTAACATTTTCAGCACCTTTTAGTTAACACAGTCCTTCGCAACAGTGGGGCGGTGTTGCGGTATAGAACATACTGGAGCGGATACCATATCCAGCACAGTCTGAGAGCCTCTTCAGTCCTGCACCACAAAGCCTCAGTACTGGATCCACAGCCTCAGTACTGGATCTACAGCCTCAGTCCTGGATCTACAACCTCAGTCCTGGATCTACAGCCTCAGTCCTTGATCTACAGCCTCAGTACTGGATCTACAGCCTCAGTACTGGATCTACAGCCTCAGTACTGGATCTACAGCCTCAGTACTGGATCTACAGTCTCAGTCCTGGATCTACAGCCTCAGTCCTTGATCTACAGCCTCAGTCCTTGATCTACAGCCTCAGTACTGGATCTACAGCCTCAGTACTGGATCTACATTCTCAGTACTGGATCTACAGCCTCAGTCCTGGATCTACAGCCTCAGTCCTTGATCTACAGCCTCAGTACTGGATCTACAGCATGTATTTACAGCATGCCCGTCAGAGGGAGAGGATCGTTCTCTCACAATGCGCTTTCTTAATTTTTTCCCTAGATTTTTTCGAGGTTCGTTGCCGCAGCAGGAGGGTCTAAGAACAGTGGTGATCCAGGACGTTCATGCACATTTGATAACTGGACGGTGGTCATCCCTCTCACTAGCAATGTGTTTGTTATTTTTGCATTCCCTGTTTTTGATTCTCCGATCTGTTGTTGTTGAAGTAAAGGCCTCCAAGAAGGCTGCTGTCGTAATTTAGGGCAACAGACAAATGTTGTGTGGTGTAATCTAACTCTAAGAAGCGGAGTCTGTCTCCTTTTGAAGCCTCACTTGGACACATGCTTAAAGACACCGCGGTGACGACACACGCTCCAGGGAGACTTGATGAAGTTTCCATTTGGCCCGCAACAAACTGGAGGCACGCAACTATAATGCAGCCGTTTACTCTGCGCATAAATCACACTCATTTAAGAGCTCCTAACTGGCTGCACACTCCGCTCTGTTGGAGAGGGGCATGAATCACCGCGGGGCTGTGTGTGTGTATGCATGTGTGTGTGCGTGTGTGTATATGTGTGTGTGTGCGTACTTAAGAGGCTGCTGCTAGCACTGGGTCACGTCTGATTTGCATGTTGTTTACGAGGTTTGTGAGCAGCGCCAGGTTTAAGGCGGTGATAAGCCTCCTCTTATCTCCCGCCTGAGCATCTTGCTGATCTTCTTCAGTAGGATGTAGAGCGCGGGGCCGTCTCCGTGTCATTTCAACAAGTCCACGCTGCTCGGTTTAACTGCATTAAAAGGTAAATATTGTGCTAAACTGCTTTAGAGGAAAATGACCTCCTTAATATAATATCTGTGTTCATTTTCCGTCTGTTTTAGTTTAGTTTGTTTTAGTAGTCGTCACAAACAAACTCATTCACTATGAACTCTAGTTTTCAGTGGAAAAGGGCACCAAGAGGAGGACACAGGGAGAACATTCAAACTCAAAACTCAGATTAATGGTCTGTGCTCATTGGCTCATGCTCGCACCATGGATGTCCCAAACATTATCAGAAGGAACGCGTTCAGGCCAACTCTTTCTTGTGCAGTAAGTGCTCAGTGGTTCTACTTCCACAAGACCAAAGTAACATGTGAGCGATCTGACCAATCAGGTCCTCATAGACAGACCAGAGAGAGAAACATCAGAGAGAGAGACCAGAGTGTGTTCGATGGCTAAAACTTTGGGGTCATTTTCCAGGGCCGTTCGTCGGTGCGTGTCTCTTCTGCAGGAACTTCTCCCACAGATCATTTACACTGGGGATTCATCACACTCCAAAACAAACCGTGAAAAGTAAAAAAAACTGAAGCTGGGCAATAAAAAACTCAAAGACCACAACAACTGGAGCACGACCGTAAAAAATAAACAAATGGGTTTTGCTTATGCGGCAATCAAAACTCATGACGTCGTCGAATGGTCCTACTCTGCAGTGGAGACACAGCCACTGAGAGGACCGAGAGAGAGGACGGTTATTGTAGATGTTCCACCGCGCTCCTTTTACCAAGAACTCCTGCGGTGGAAACGCAGCTGTTCACTCAGGTTGGGCTCGTGAACATTGCATGTTGAACTGGAGCTGCCTCTGTGAGTTCTCAGAGAATCTCTACTCATCCTGGTGAAGTCACAAGGAGATAATCCACTCCTGCTACAGTATATGTAACAGGGTACAGTGATTTTCAGGCATGGCCCCTCTTCGGCCTGGGACAAGGCTGTGAATATGCCACAAAATAGCATTTTGTCTCAGATATATAGCATTTTCAAATCCAGGGAAAAAAGATCTGACCCACCCCTTCTCACACCTCTAGTCCCTGCTGACATTCATCTCAGCCCTCGCCATTAGCATTTATGCAAAGCAGACTTGCCAAATTAATGCCGGGATGTGTTAGGCTAATGCGCTGCTTATGCTAATAGCAGCAGCCCTTTTCATAGGAGCTCTTCATTCACAGGAGCAAAGATTATATTAAACTCATATATTCCCTTCAATCAGGAAGATCCGGAACGGCCCGGACGAGCACATTTGTCACAGCATCTGAAGCTCCCTGTCCTATGCTCACAAACACACACACACACACGCACACACACACATGATTAAATATACAGGGGAGGTTGTTATATTATTTCAATTAAAAAGAATGAAGATACAATTGTTCGCACAGCTAAAATAGGAAATGTTTTTGAAATGTTCCAGGACTGAGGCTGTAGATCCAGGACAGAGGCTGTAGATCCAGGACAGAGGCTGTAGATCCAAGATAGGGGCTGAGGCTCTTGAGCAGCTAGTTTCTTTATTTCAATGTTCAATTTCTCAGTATTGACTAAATTAAGGCTAATTCAGGTACAATGCATGGAATGGAAAATGTATGCTCTCACTGTAAATTGTCCCTTTTAAATAAATATACTGTATACTGTTGTATATGCTGTATATTTGTGCATGGTTAAGTGGAGGATCAGTGGATGCAGAGATAAAAAACATAATAAAGTTGAGCAGAACATAACATAACAGAGCAGAGCAGCATATCAGCACAGACATCTCTGACCTCAGAGTCTGCATGAAGCTTGTTCATTGGTAAATCTAATCTGGTTTCTTTTTATCTGGTAGAAGATGTCCGGCTGCCCACAGTATACTCAGCTGATAAACTATACATGTGTATTTGGTATGTATTCAGTATTATAGTCATTATTGACTGCAGAAATATTCAGTAAAGTAAAATTCACTTTACTTTATTTCATGTTCCCAATGGGGCAATTTGATTCACAGCACAGGGACACGTAAAAAAAACAAAAAAAAAACAATTTCTCCATACATTTGGACTAACCCACATACAGTCTTCCAGTAAAGTCAATGGCAATAATAAATAACAGGATAAAAAAGAACACAAAAACTGTCCCCCTCAAACAAAAAATTCAACCCATTTTTCCTCTGTCTATGGTCCGAGTTTAGTGTAGAAACAGCTGCAGGTACGAAAGAGTGTTTATATCTATTACTCCGAACTATTGGAGTTCTGAGTCTGGAACCAGACGGCGGGTTACTAAACTCTTCATGAAGAGGATGAGCCTCATTACCCAGAATCCTCAGAGCCTTCCATGTCACCTGACCAGTGAACAGTTCAGAAAGTGGAGTCTGAGGAGCTCAATCTTAGCACTCAGGTTTATTATTCTGCTGAGAGACTTTTTCCCTTTGACTTTGAGGTTACCAAACCAACACATCATGGAAAATGTTAAAACTGACTCAACACAAGATTTGTAAAACAGTCTCATTATCGGCATGTCCACATGAAAATAAGCCAGTTTCCAGAGGCAGAACAAATGCTGCTGCTCTTTCTTACACAGAACATCTGTGTTTTCATTGAAGTTCAGCCTCAATGAACTTC